TACTTCACTTTTGAACTCGTCTATGAGGTCCTGAAGATATTACTTTATGTCCACTGGTGCCATGTCTGATATTACATGTTTGCCGTTCCTCAATCTCCTTTGCATTTACCTTTCCTGGATCAATGTTCTCCAGGTTGGGAGATAGGGGCCCTTTCTTGTTTCTCCCTCTTCTCATATTTTTTGTTCTTTCCATACAGGTGTATACAGGAGGCCCCAGTTTCTTTCTTTGTTGGTTACAGTTCGTCTGAAGCACACTGACTAGGTTCCTGCCCAATGCAGTGTACTATGGAGATACAGATTGGGGCAGCCTATGCTGGGCCCTCCCCTCCAGGTCAGTCAACCTGCTGAGGGCTTCACTGCATTAGGGTGCGCTGCCAGGTACAGGGACTTGGTTTGGGCTAGCCTATTGGGTCTCAGTCTGGGATGTGACCCAGGTCAAGCACTTCCCACCAATCCCACTTGAGATGGGAGCAGCTGACTAAAGTCACTGCAGCCCCTTGTTCTCGCCAATCTGCCCTGTCCCAGAATGTCATCTGTTGGAGCCCCTTTTTCTATGGAAGGGTTTTATTCCTGTCACTCACTGCTGATCGATGCAGGTTCCCTGCCAACTCAGCCCTCCGTTCAGTTCGCTGACTCCTGTCCTCAGTGCGAGTGCATCTCCAGTGAGTTGAAGCCACGGCTTCCGGCTTTCAGGCAGCTCGCTAAGTCTTGGCTGCGCAGGTTCAAGCATTGCAGTGGGAGCACCAAGTCGTTAGCTGTTCCATTAGTAGCACCAGGACTGTATGTTTAATTGGTTTCTCTCAGCTTAGGTTGTTCCTGGGTTGGGAGGATCCATCTTCCTCTGTTTGGGACTCCCCACGCTGTATTATTTTTGGAATCTAAGTTGACTATCTCAGGGAGCCTTTGTAGCCTGCTGTTATCTATCCACCATCTTTTCTCCATCCAAGACTTAGAATTCTAAATGGTATTTTCTATCCTCAGAGTCATAGGGAGAAAATATTTTCTTTAGCAGAATTTGGAAATATCTTAATTCCTGAATACCCTGGACTTAGATAATAGCATTTTCTCTAAATCTTTCAGCTTATGTTTTTGTCATTATCTCCTCTTAAAGAGCTACTGTAATAGTAAAATAAAGGTATTTACTTGTTTAGTTTTTGTGTTACTTATCAGGATCTCAAAATCATATTCTCAAAAGCACCTCAAAGTTGGCAAATTTACTAAGTGCTTTTTGTCTTATGAAGAGCAGCACTGGCACACTGTGTGTGTTTTAGCAGTTGCAGGTCTTTTCTGTGACCTTCTTCATCCTGAGAAGATATTCTTTTATGATGTCAACTCACTATGTGACAGGAATTCTTCTGAAAATAATAACTATTTCTTCTTACTATTTCGACAAAAGTGCTTAGCATTAAAATTAGCATTAGAATTGTGTAGAATTCATCCATGCTATGTTTTTCTAAAGGCTTTATACTGAAGATCTTTTGAAATGTCCTCAGAACCAAAAAAAAAAAAAAAAAAAAAAAAAAGAGGGAAGTAAGAATCTGGGTTAGCAAAAGTATAGAGAAACTATTGGGTCAGAAACATTTTCTGATGCAATCTGAGATGGTTTTTGTAAATTACCTCAAGCATGTTCATAAGAGACAACAGAGTGCTAAGGCTATTCTTCACAAGACTAAAAGACTTGGAAAATTTGCTATAATGTTGAGGTTCTGATAAACATCCCAAGTAAAAATGTTTAGTTACTATTTTGGTAGGTTATACGAAGGTTATCAATATTCCCCAGTCTATCTCCATGATAGCTGAAATTTTGTCCGCTTTCCTTGTTTGTGAGTTTCCAGCACAGAACAGCATTATGGTTTTCCATGCCCAAATGATATGTATGACATGGAAAGAGGTATTTTAAGAGTTATAATTTTAAATGCACTGAAGAGTTTTGTATTTTATGTATGAACTCCGTCTAGTTGCTTTTTACAAAGTCTAGATGTGGGCACTGAAAGCAGATTCTTTTTTCTCTGAATGAGAAAATGTCTTTACAGAGAGACACAGATTAAAAAACTATTGATGAAACTCTCATGCTCCTTGAATACCTCTTGTCTTTCTGCACCCAGTGGAGAAGAAGGAAGGTCAAAGTTATATTTTCGTGCCATTCTGAAGTGGTGCATACTGATGTGGTGCATACTGATGATGGAGAAGTTTGCGGAGAATCTTTCTGAAAGCCTGCAGGTCTGAAGAACACTGAGTTCTTATTTACAAAGTGAGCGGGACGTCCCTTTAATTAGCAGGTTTTAACAGATGAAATGATGAGCAACACACCAATTCAGCATTCATTCTATTTTCCAACATGTATTAGTCTCCAGGGGTACTAGTCAGATTTCCTGATGCCCACAACTTAAAAGAGGAAAAAGAGTTTATTGTGGTGTACAGCTCACTCCGTGGCCAGCTGGCCCCTAGGCACGGGCATCATGGTGTTCAGGTGTGGCAGCACAAAGCTGCTCACTTCACTGTAGAAGTGAGGTGCAGGAAGAAAAGCACAGAAGAATACCACAGAGGAAGCTGCTGGGGACCAGCTAGAACCTCCATGACTGTGGTAGTTATCTGAGTGTGTCAACTTGGGTAAGAAATGCCCAGTGAAATTGGATCAGCGTAGTGCTTGGTGAGTCTTTAAGGATCTACTGAAGACAGAAGACCGGTCCTGGGAGTGAGAGGTGCCAACAAACAGGCTGGCAGCCTGAATGGAATAAAAGACTTCCTTCTGTTTCTTCGGCAGGGCTCTAGACTTCATCTTCACCTTGCACAGCATCTCCTGGCCTCCAGCACAGACCGTTAGGCTTTCTGATTTGGGCTCACACAGAATGCTGCAGTGGGCTCCAGGGTTGGACCCTTGTTGGGTGCTTTGGCTCAGTGTGCAGATAGACCTTTTGCACTCTTGCACCCTTGTTTCTGCTGGCAACCATTGTAAATCCTTATATATTTATGTATCTTCCATTAAATGTGTTTCTCTGGTGAGCACTGACGGAAGCAGTGACCCTCCCAAAGGCATCCAGAAGTGTGATTTGCTAATCCTCTAGGGCAGTGGTGCCACACCTCTTACAACAACCCCAAACCCACTCGTTTATCGTGAAATATCAGCACTGCAATTAAACCCAAATACTGAAGCTTTAGTTTAGGAAAAGTAATTCATTCATTAGCATTTTTTGTCTTAAAAGAAAGTCAAATAACACATGTGGTATAGGTTTGCCGCCACTGCCCTAGGTGACTCCCAAGCCAATCAGGTTGACAAGTTTAATGGTCACACAGGGAAGAGGCCTCTGCTCCTTTCCATGAGAGGGGCCAGCTGTCTGCACCTGATTCTTACAGACTAGGCACTCAGAGTCAGATGACTTAGGTACTAAAGGCCCAGCATGGTCGTCAAACTTAAAGCTCAACATACACCAATATTTATGTTTGAGACACAGACCTGGCAGACAAGCTCAGGGCAATTCTGTTTTTCATTCCCTTTGTGAAGGTAGGTGATCAATGGACACCTCTTAATTCTTTTAAGACTCCTTTGGCTCTAAAAGTCTTCTGGTTCTGAATGAGAAAAGGTCACTCTACTTCAAGGTCACCTCCTGCCTTGTATCAATAGCTTTATTTATAAAACCCAGAAGCTTCTTTTAGGGATGTTCTGGTGAAAAAAAAAGCTTGTGACCAAGTGATATTTACTTTCAAAGCTCAGGATACACCAGAAGGGGACTACCATATAGATTCCTAGGAAAACAAAGCCTACTAATCCCTGCAATGCAAAACTACCTGTATTCCCAACACACCATTCTGTGAATGAATGTTGCCCTGTAGCTCCAATATATTCTCCATGTTGTTTCCATAGAAACGGAGGTATCATCAGCCCCTTCAGGAAGGCATTGAACTCAAGGCAATTTTCATGACAGCACTGAGATGAGAGAACTTCAGAAAAAAGAAAGAGATGAGATTGCTAGGAACCAACTACAGCAGTCAATTTTATGTGTCAACTTGCCTGGGCCATGGTGCCCAAATATTTGGTTAAACATTATTCCGATTGTTTCTGGGAAGACATTTTTGGATGAAATTTTGGTTTAAATTGGTGGATTTGAGTAAAGCTGTTCTCTGTAAGATGGATGAATGTCACCTAATCAGTTGGAATACCTGAGTAGACAAAAAGGTGACATCTTTCAGGCAAGATGGAACTCTGTCTGAAGGTCTCGGACTTGAACTACGCCATGGATTTTTCCTAGGACTCCAGCCTCCTCTGGAGGTTTTGGACTTGCATGTATCTGTAATCACACAAGCCAGTTCCTGAAAACAAATCTCTCCCTATGTGAATGCACATTCTACTGGTTCAGTTTCTCTGGGGGAACCTTTACTAACACAGTGGCTTTAGTTCTAGTAGCTTCTTCTAACTGCATTCAGTTGAAAGTTGGTTAGAATGGTGCATCAGTCTCTTTCAAAGACAGAATCACATTATTTATCACCCAAGATAGGATGCTCTTGGGAGTGAAAGGGAGAATATTAAATTTCTGTTACCTTGGCTTGCCCCAAGCTACTGGCACATAGGGTCAATCTGCTAACAGAGAATTACAGGCAATGGTTAGCGATATCCTGCTTACACTTCTGAGGACTAGTGAGGTGGTAACTTACAGGGTGATGCCTCACGGGATTGAAGTAGGGAGAGATGACCTGCAGCCTATAACTCACTAAAATCTAAACTCAGCTCATGCAGGAATTTATTCTCTGTCACTGGTGATTGTCACAAAGTCTAAAGTTCATGGATATGGGTCATCTTGATGGGCGGTACCTGGCCTGCCACTCATTCAGGATGTTTTCAGAAATGGCACATCTGGTGACTTTGTTGGATCTGAGATTCTGGGTGGGGAGAGTCGGTGGTGACAACTCGGGTTAGATAAGATGCCCAGAGTGTGCCCTCCATCGATAACTCTCCTCCCCCATGGGTCTTTGGGATTTCAAATAATATGCTTCTTATTTTATAGGAATTTCACTCATCTATATGTATTTTTGCTTCATCGTTAAATTGGTTGTCCTCCACTCTTCCTTGAGCAAAAAATGTGTTTGGCACTGAGGAGAAGAAGACTGAGGAAATATTCATGATTGTTAGAACTGAGAGTGGATTTGAAAATGTCAGGCTTCCTGAAAGTGCCCAAGGTAAGGCATGGGTGTTTAGGGTGTGTAGGGCTTGGGAATTTGACAACCTTGCTTATTTTCAGTCAAAAGAGAGACAAACTATCAATAAACTTTATTTTAAAGCAGTTTTAGATTCACAGAAAAAAGGAGCAAAAATATACAGAGTCCCATTCATCGTCTACTCTGTAGACATACTGCCTTCCCCTTAAACACAGTGACCATGGTGGTTCATTTGTTACACACAATGAGCCTGCACTGACACATCAGTAACACCCACACTTAGAGTGTATGTTAGGGTTCACTCTTGGTCTGCTCATTCTATGGGTTTGGCCAAGTGTGTGCATCATGGCAGCACTGTAGAGAGGTCTTTTACTGCCCTCAGATTGCTCTGTGCTCTACTAACTCACCCATCTCTCCTTCCTAAGCCCTGGCAACGACTGATCTTTTTACTGTCTCCATAGCTTTGTGTTTTCAAGCATATCTTATTGTTATATTTGTACAGCACATAGACTTTTCAGATTGGCTTCTTTCACTTAGTAATATGAATTTAAATTGCCTCCATGTCCTTTCATGATTTGGTAGCTTTTTTCTAAAGAGTTGAATAATTTTCCATTGTCTGGGTATTTCTTTATCCACTCAGTTCCTGGAGGATATCTTGGTTTCTTCCAAGCTTTGACAATTACGAAGGATCCATGTGTACATATTTTTTTGTTCAGACATATGCTTTCAGTTTATCTGGGTAAATACCAAGGAGTGGAATTGCTGAATTAAATGCTACGATGTTGTTTCATTTGGAAGAAATTGCTGAACTGTCTTCCAAAGTGGCTGTACCATTCCGCATCTCCACCGGAAATGAATGAAAGTCCCTTCTGCTCCACACTCTTACCTGTGTGCAGTGTTGCCAGGGTTTGGATTCTGCTGTTGGATGGATGTGGTTCAGTTTGTAATTCTTTAATGACTTATGACTGTGTGCTTCTTTCACTTGCTAACTTATCATCTCTATCATCTTTGGGTGATGTCTTTGTATACTTGGCCATTTTTTAATGTTATTTTTTGATTGCGAATTTTAAGAGTTCTTTGTGTGTTGGATAACTGTTCTTTGTTTAGACATTACACTTTTTATGTAAAACTGCTTGCTCTATTCTTAATATAGTCTTCTGGTGTGTGAATCCCATCAATTGTTTATGATTGAGAAAACACAGGCCTCAATTTCGTGAGCTATGATATATAGGATGGAAAAGCTGAGTTTGCCAGATTTAAAAATGTTTTGCAGAATCAGGTGTGGGTGTGTTAAAAGGGTGAAAAATGGGAATATGAAACAAGTTAGCCTTTTAAAAACGTCAGGTTACAGTAAAATTGCCTCTCTAATGAAGCAAATGACGCAGCCTTTCTTTGTATAGTATTGGAAAATCACAGTTTGTGTCCTAATTTAGGTTGGGGTTTTTTTTTCAATTCTTACTAAGATATCCTCCAGACACTTTAACAAGGGAATTTTTGCCACACAGTTTTTGATCAACTTGCAAGATTAGTTTTGCCTAAATTTAACTAGGTCATGCTTTCTCTATCTTCTATCTCAGCAGAAACATATTTTATCTGAAGCTGAGGCAGATAAAATATGGAATATGCTTTTTTAAGAGGTGGATTTGAGGGTTTAACAAATCAGTTTTATAATTCTAAATAGTTTCACGTTTAAACACCAAAGTGCTTCCATTCTGATCTCTTTCTTGTGAAAGAGATGTGGGGTGTGCATTATGAATTTGACAGTTACAATTTAATGATTTATCACAGTAATGTATTGCTGCCTTGTACTGTTTTGAACTTTCCAACTTTTCCAATTGCATTTCCATAACTGAAAGAAAAATTCTTGAGAATTAGGGTTCTTGAAGGAAGCAGAACCAGGAGGACAGAGATTTGTTTCAAAGAATTGACTCATGGGATTGTTGAGACCAGCAAGACCAAAATTTGTCAGGCAGGTTGGGTGGCTGGAAATTCAGCTGAGAGTTTGTGTTGCAGTCTTGAGACTGAAATCTGCAGATGAGTCAAGATCCTGGAGACTCAGACAGCACTTCTATGCTTGGTCTTGGAGTAGAATTTCTCTTGTTCTGGAAAGTCTTTGTTCTTTGGTCCTTCAGTTGATTGGATGAGGGTCACCCACGTTATGCAGGGTCATTTGCCTTACACAAAGTAATATAAATGCTAATGACATCTAAAGAATACCTTCACAGAGACAACTAGACTGGTGTTTGACCTAATAGATGAGCACCATGACTTGTCAAGCTGATACATAAAACTGACTTCGGAAAACAGGAACAACAGTTTCTACTATTTTGTGTTTACTTCAGTGTTTACTATCCATTGAGAAAGCATACCCTGAGTAAATACATACTGACTAATAAATATTGGAGGTAAATAGTTTGCATTCTGAAAATCATATGTATTGAATACATATGCCAGTGGTATCCAGATATAATTTTAAACAGATGTACACATAGATGATACCAATAGTGCTTTTAACATTAATTTCAAATAGGTCCAGGGAAGAAATGGCATCTTAGAAAACAAGAGTAGCCTGAGTGATTGGGAGGTGGTGTAAGAGGAGGTTGCTTTGAGGGCCTGGGAGGAGACAGTCTGGGCTGGAGGGTGTACCTGTAGCAGTGCTCTAAAAGCTGACTATAGATGACAGCAGTGTGATGGAGCCTGCAGAAAATCACGGGCAGACGGCCTCTTAAATGAGATGCAGCCACCAATGTATTCTGAACAGGAGAGTGATACAATTTTTTTTAAAAGAAAATCTGCACCTAATCGCAGTGTTTGGACCAAAGACAACAAGTCAAAGTGTCAGTTCTCATGTTCTGACAAGGGGCCAAGCAGGTTTGTGAAAAGTGTTGGAGGATCACGCCTGTAACCGAGAGCTCTGGGAAGTCAGGGATGCGTGGGGCTATCAACACTTGCAATGTGGTCAGGTCAAACCAAGACTTACAAATTACATGCTGGGTTTCTAAAGCTCAGTGCCAAAGAACAAAACGAGAAATAGAATCTCACACAACTAAGAATACAAAAGACCTCCTAAGGACTTTCCAAATGTTTTCTATTCTGAATATTGAAATAATCATTCAGAATAAGTGGAATAGATCATCAAGAATATATTGATATAATTAAAATTTATTCCATCTCTCTTTTTTATTTTTTCAAGGTGCTGACATTACATGTTTGAAATCTCATAAATGGCTCCTGTTCTGTCTCTGAGTCAGTTCTGCTTCAGGCCACATTGTGGGTCTGCCACTTGGAAAGAGCGAGAAGGGAGGATTAAATAAGAGGAATTGATGTGACTTTCAAAAACATTTGGCCCAGTGGATGAAGAGCCCCTGAACAAAGGTTGGCCCTCAGGAGAGTCTGGCATTGTGCAGGAACACGTTGGCACTGGTGCCCAGCCACACACCTGCCTCAGCTGGGACCACCCCAGGGAAGTGTGGCTGGAGATTCCCACCCTGTGCATGCAAAGGGCTGTCTGTCAGCTGTGCTTCTCCCCCCAGTCTTCAGAAGGGGATCCAAGTACTGTATCATTCCTGCTTACTCAAAAACCTGTCCTTTGTCATGGTACTCTAGGTAGCACAGAGGACTGCTGGCTTCTTTGTCAATGCCACAGGACCTGATGCCCAGCTTTTTGTCATGCTCTCAACTTCCCATCCTGTTGTGCTTGACCCAGGCTTACCTGTAAGGCAAGGACTCACATTGAACAACAAAGGAAGACCTGTCCTCAGAAACGCTGAGACAGCTCTCCCAGTGTGTTCACTTTCTAAGGCTCTGTGATGTTCTCATGCTGATTTGGGGAGAGGTTGTTGTCCTCGTTTTTTGAGTGCCTCTGCTATGACACTGCAATTTACAGATGTTCTGGAGCTACCACTTGGTCAAAATTGAGACTCAGAGGTCCCATCTGATCTGTTTTCTATAAAGCACTAGTGAATTGAGAACATTGTTGAACTTCAACTATTTCCATTACGAGTTTTCCATTACACAAATTATTCCCTTAAAATGTATGCTTGCCTTAAAATGAGTGTCTTAGTTACTTTCCCTTATTGCTGGGATAAAATACCCAACAACCAAAATGAAGGAAAGAAAGGTTTATTTAGCTTACTGTTTGTGGAGGTTTCAGTCCATACTCAGCTGGTTCCAAGGCAGCCAGAAAAAGTAGCCAGAGAAAAAAGAAGGGCAAGCCTCTTTTCCTCGCTTATATTTCTGCAGAGCAAGTGTAGCACTCACAAATTCTCCTTGCCCTTCTCTTGCATAGGACCAGAATATTTACAAAGTAGGAACCTTGGCTCCCTGCTAAATCTCTCAGTTAAACTTCTAAACTTCTGAAGTTGTCATGATGTTTCAACCATAACAATGTGTAAACCCCTCTGGTACTAGTAGTGAATGTCAAAGGAGAAATGGTTCTGTCTTGAAACAGGTTGTGATGAGGCTCTCCTGCAAGGACAGTGGATGAGTTTTGTGAAGCTGCTGAGTGATTGTCAAGAGGACTGCAGACATTTAGAAGCTCTGGCTTTTGATGAAGTGGTCAGTGCTATTAGGAAAGTGAACCGAAGGTTAAAGAAAAATCCTTTAAAATGTAATCATAACCATCCTGGCTTGCTTTTGCGTTGTCATTATCAGGGTGTGCTGACAATGAATTGCCAAAGGACAAAAATTTGTGACACAGATAAGAGTTCTAATGACAGAATTTCCCTCCAGAAAACCAGGTCTTATTCTGTAAGACCATACCTACATTCCAGGTCAATAAAATATTTTCAGCAAAAATGGACAGGATGAGATGAATATTACTAGGTACAAAAAACCCCACAAAAATCCACTGTACTTTCCCACAGAGTTTAGGCCTGTCAGTCCCCATTTTAGTCTAAAAATAAGACAGTATAGCTTAGCAGACAGCTGAAACTGTTAGGTGCCATTATTTACATTTGGTGGCATAGAACTGGATAAATTTGTAAACCTTTCTAAGCTTCAATTGCTTCAACTGTGAATGGGAGTATTTACAGCACCCAACACAAGGTTTTGGTAGAATTGATAAAACATGTGTATGTTACTGGTATTGTGCCTCTGATACACAAAGGGCTCAAAAATGCATTACTATTTAAGAGATTGGAATGGTTCACACCATTGGCTATGCAAAAGTGTCATATGTATTGGTTTTGTAAATAAACAGAAAGTCATTTAACTTTCTGGATAAGTTCTTTTCTTTCTTTCTTCTCTGTCTGAAAAAGTTATCTTGAAAGATGAGACCTGTTCTCCAACTTCCCCACCTGTTTTTTTGCTCGCTTTGCTTAGAGGAATAAAAGAAATAAATCCCAACCTGACCCAGAGCCTGGGTAAGAAGGCTGACAATCATATGAATAGCAAGGCATTCTTTGCTAATGACTTGGAAAACAAGAAGATCCCTGGAGTGTGTCAGGCAATGTCTGTGACCGAGAAGGAGGAATATAACCACATAGCTGGGTGATTTCCTCTGATTTGGGTCATTTATTAGATATTTTGTATTCAGAGAAATCTGGAACAGCTTTGCTGTTTCTGAGGTTTGTTTGGTAGTTAACTCCAGTGTGTTGTCAATCCTAGTGTGCATAATAGGGGCCAGATTAAAAAAAAAATGTAACATAGAGTAAAAGAATGAATGAGAAACAGAGTGATTTCATGAGCATCTGCTCCAACTACATCCTAAACACAAGCCTCACGCTGCCTCCAAATCCACTGTTTTCACCAAGACATTCAGAGATACACCACTTGAGAAAATACCCTTTCCAGGAATGACTATTTTTGGAGATGATGGATTGTAGTTGGAAATCACACAGCTGAAACAGACCACCTGATATCAGCATGGAAGGAAGGGGCTAAAGTAGAAGACTAGGGAGCTGCACTGAACTATAGAAACAAAAATAAGCCATGTCCTCATGATTGTCATCAGAGTCATGTGAGGCTGAAATAGTCTGACCCAAAGAGATTTCCAAAGAGATGACTGATATTAGGGGTGTCTCAGATTATACCAGAGTAAGGACTGAAGGGAGATTATTCCTAAAGTCTGCTTGCATTTTCATTTCTTTTCTTTTACTGTATTATTTTTTATTTCTCTTCCTGGGTTTTAACCACTTTCCCTGTCACTAGGACAAAATACCCAACACCCACATTTTTGAAAAGGAGATTCAGGATGTGGTTAGCTGGTGCCAAGGCAGATAGGGCAGAGTGCAAGGGGCCGAGTAGAGCACGGCTGTGCATCCCATGGAAGCCAAGAAGTAGACAGGGCAAGGAGGAGCTGTGGAGGGAGCTGCACCCTTCCAGGTCACGTCCTCAGCAACCTGCTTCTTCCAACCTGACTCACCTCCTACAGCACATCAGCTGTGAACTCATTGGTGGAGGAAGCCAATGATGAGAATAGCAGCTCGGTGGCCCAGTCACCTTTCAAACAAATTAGACCTTGGGGAAACTTTCAGACTCAGACCATAACCTTCTGGCATACTAGGTTTAGCTGGTTCACTTTTTTAAAATTTTAACTTCAAGGTAGGAATGTTTCAAACTTAGATATAACACTGATATTAGTGCATTGGGTGCCACGGTGACATTTAGCCCCTTCAATCTCAGAACCAAGAGCCAGCAGGGCAAAGGTGATTACTGAGTTGTAGAATTGAGAAAGAGGCCTTGGCCTTAGCCAATGCCACCAGGGGCTCAGCTACTTCTATTAATAAGCTTTGCACAACACCACAAAGCAAAAAACTCTAGCAATCTGTGCTAGGTGAAACACAGGGAACATAAAATGCACAGAGATGAAAGTAAAAATTAGCATCAATATCACCAATTATTGGTGGGAATGAGAACTGTAGCTTCTACTGTATTTGGTTGTCTACTCTATAAAGATAAATGAATATTTTGACTAACATTTCTTCTCTTTCCCATACTTTATAAGATGCACTATTTGTGATTATATTTGTGTTTAGGCCACATGCTTCAGATATAGGAAAATGTACAACTAGAAAACCTGATTTAAGAGCCAGGATGCAATAATGATTTAATTTAGGTTAGAGTCAGTGCTCCCAATTCTATCAGGGATAACCGGCCATCGTCGTGCCCCCGGTGATTCACCTCTTCCAGCCAGATCCCACCCCTAATTAGCACGTTAGCTACAAACTCATCAGTTGTGTTGGTTACTTTTCTCTCATCACAGAGACAAGATACCTGATGTCCAAATTTGAGAAAGGAAACTTTTATTTAGTTCACAGTTTGTGGAAGTTTTATCCGTAATCTGCTGGGTCCAAGGCAAGGTGGCTCATGGCAGAGGGGAACAGTTCATGGGGTTGGAAGACAGCAAATTAAACAAGAGCAAAAAGGGAGAAGTCCAGAGAGAAGACTTTCTGTCCTTTATATTATATGTAGGCTACCTGCCCTAGGGTGGGTGTAGCACTCACACCCATAATCCCAGCATTGGACCATGAATCAATCACAAATTATAGAAGGCTGTCCCCATAATCACATGAGGTTTTGAGGGGACATCCGGATATGAACCATGATATCCATGGACTAATATTATCAGATGAGAAAATGATTTATGGACAAACATGGTAGACTGTGGTGGAAACATGATTTTTACAGTTATTTTGCTTGATTTTGCTTGTTACTTATTATTCACTCTGGTTCGTATCCCATGCTACAATTGAATTGAGTGTCCTTTAAAAGTGTTGAAAGGTGTGGTTCCCAGTGTGTGGCAGTATAGGGAGGCAGCAGAACCTCGAGGAGGTGGGGTCTCACGGGAGGAAGTTAGGTCATTAGAGATTTGCGCAAGAAGGGAATACAGTGGCTAGGGACTAGGACCTCTGAAAGTAGGAGCCAAAAAAGACCTTCTCTTCTAGTAAGGTGATAATACCTGAAAAGTATTCAGGTATTATCTCACAATGTTAGAAAAGTCACTAATATCCCCCATTCTCCATTTTGGAAACTTCCAACTCTGTGCAGTTTAGGTGGATGGCACCTTCTTTAATAGAGGCTGGGGAAGTTGGTTTCTTCCTCTTTCACAGCTAGGCAATCACATGTGACCTAGTTCAGCCAGATAGGTACTCTCTGAAAATTTCCATCTAAAAAAATGACTCAAGAATCTGGAGTTGGAATCCATCCATTCATCTTGGTTTAATAATGGTGATAGCGTATGACTTGAGCTGCTGCTGCTTTGTGATCTATGTTGAAATTCCTTGATTCTTTCTTGTTTCCCCTAGAATCTCTTAATCTTTCCATTGTTTTTTTTAAGATAACCAGATATACGTTCTATTGCTTTTCCCCAAAATGCAGTTATTTCTATCCAAAAGATAATTTTAAAAAAATGTTGTGGTTGAAAGCGGCTTTCTGTCAAAGCTGAGAAATTCCATTTTCTTGGAAGAGGTCTTCCAAGACTGTGGAGAATAGAGTTATCTGAGTCCAGTTATGTGTTAATTTATATTCCCAGGGTTTTGTTCATGTTTCCAAATTTCACTTTTTCACTTTCTCAGTAGAATATCTCATTCATCAGAGAATCAAAAGTGCAGAATATCACATTTTCATGTAATCACACTGTTGCCAATTTTTCCCCCAGAAGTATTCCTAAAAGAAGAAGAAATACTCACTTTCAGCTCTGGAACCAGAGTATCTTAACAGAGACTCAATTGTGATTTATAACCGCAAATCCATTACTCATTAGTTCACCAGTTCAGATTGCTCAGCTCATGAGACAAAGAATGTTGTAGTTACATTCTTGTTCCAAACATGTCCTTTGTAGTTAGCTTTTTAAATTTTAAAGAACCCATAGATGTGTTATGATTTAAATAAAATACTCTTGCTGGGAGTGGAGGAGCATGTGTATAATTTCGTCTACTAGGGGAGGGGGTGCTGAGGCCAGAGGTTTACAAGTTCAAGGCCAGCCTGGAAAAGTTAGTGAGACTCTGTCTCAAAATAAAATAAACAGAAAGGGTGGGAGGCAGGGAGGTAACTCAGTACTCCCTGGCTTCAATCTCCACTATTGAAGGAAAAAACAAAAAAGCTTCCCTACTCAAACACATTGTTCTAATTAGACTAAAAAATTCAGTTTTAATTTTTATTTTCATAATTAATTTCAGATATCTTCTAAACCTGCACAGACCATAAAGATGCTTCTGGGCATACCAATAGCCATCTTTGACAATTACATTCCACCTTGAATTAATTTTATGTTACTTTTCATGCAAGGTATTTACCTTGTAGTATAAAAATTCCACCAATACCTTCTCCTAATATTTATAGTATTTTCATATTTTTGCTCTAAGTATACAATAAACCCACAAAAAATTACTATCACTTTTGAGTTAGCCAACTGGCATTTAAAGGATGTAGTGGGATCAACAAAGATCCCCTATTCGGATGGCCTCCGTTTCCACTGCCCTCCTCCGCTAACTGTAGACCTGATGGTGTGTACGCTGGTTCTCTCCAGCCTGGAGCACCTCCTTTACCACTTCTTACTGTGGAGATCTGCTAACGGTGTGCTTCATTAGCTTCTTATCGGAATGTTTCCTTCACCCACAGTTTGGAAAGTTGTTACTGTTAGGTATGGGATGCTTCTCTGAGATTCTTGTCCCCCATCTTTTTAAAGCTTCTTTTCTGTTGTCGTCTGTATTCCACTCTTTCTGATGTGAAGCCATCGTTATTATTCTACATCCATTCAAAACAGGAGTCTGTTCAATCTGGCTGCTTTTAGGCTATTCCTCTGCACTTTTTTGAAAGTTTGCCTACAGTGTCATCAGGGGTTACTGCGTTTTTAATTCTGCTTGGGATTCACTAAACTTCTCAGCTCTTTGAATTTCTTATTTTGATCAAACATTGAAAAATTGGGGCCTGTATTTCTTCAAATATTAAATAAACTCTTCTGCACTGTTTTTTCTCTGACTTCCTTTTGTGACTGCACATACATGTATTTTAGAAGTTTGACATTGTTCAATTTCATAGCTAGTTCAGATTCAATTTATTTTTGAGATCTTTTTCTTTTTTTCAGTTAGGATGACTTTTGTCTGTTTTTCTTTGAATTTACTAATCCTATTTTTTGTGATGGCCAGTATTCTTTCTAGGCCATAAAATGACTTTATTTTATGTATGCTATTTTCCAATTCTAGTATTTTCATTTAATTTTTCTTTTCTTTCTTAAATTTTTCCTAAATTGCACACATCAATTAGAATTCTCCCA